TTTGAGAAAAGGTAACTTGTAATATAAACACAGGAAAACTCAGGACGTATTCCAGTAATACTTGCAATCAGAATACAGAAGTGTTGCTGTTTTCCTATGTTTTCCTAGAACTACTTAAGTACTCTATGATACTAGGGATATCCTCATTTTCATGAAGATATTCATGTTTGCACCAAAAATAGAAAAGAGCTAAACATTTCAGCTTCATCTTCTCCATAGAGCAGCTCTTGTCCTTAAAACATCACTAAGAATCTGCACTTAAGCATGTGTATGTGCACAGTTCTCCCATATATTTTGTAGTAACTAACTATCTTGAGCCGTGGTTCTTTTGGAAACAGCCTCTCTATCTCCATGAGGTAGTGGTAAGGTCTGCGCACACTATACCTTCCGCAGACCCCACTAAGTGGGCTGTTCACTGGGTTATAGTTGTTGTTGTTGTTGTTTAATAGCATGTGTAGCATTCTAAAGATATTATAACGGATACATAGACTAACTGTATTATTTTTTATTTTCTTTGTCAGGAATCCCATGGCCGAACTGTGACATCATTGCACAAGACTGAAGAAAATTTGTCTGCCTCATTGTCGAAAGTCACTACGCTGGAAAATTCTTTGTCTGCTGCTGGTGAGAAGTACATGTTTATGCAAAAGCTTCGCGACTTTGTTTCTGTTATTTGTGCGCTTTTGCAGGTATGGTTTTCTGATTTATGAGTGGCATATTATGTATTTCCATATATATTCTGGCGCTGCTGCTGCACTACTTGTGATACGAGCACAATGGTCATTCATTATCTTCGTTTTAGGAGGAATTAAATTGACAAAAGATGACCTAGAAGGGTGACAAGCACAGTTGCACTGTAGTTGTGAAATAATTTCAGTTACTGGGTACGGTGACAAGCACAGTTGCTCTTCTAGAAATCGATCTATTAGGTGGATCCTGCAGAGTCTGATCCATTTAGTCATTAGTGTTAAGACATAGCTTGACACATGCTTAAGCCCTTAAACTAGGTTTAGTGCAGTTTGGGTGCTTTGGCTTACTTAAGCAACTCTTCTATGAAATGTTCCAAGGCATAAAGCACGTGTCTTGGGTCAATGATGTCATGACCCGTTTTCTAAATAAGCCGTGACTTGCACCAGATGCCTTGTACAATAGGAAACGAGTTATAATTTATCGTAAGTATTGTGTGTATTGAAGCAGAAGAACAATCATTGAAACTCATAGCTTAGTTCATTGGTACTTCCTTTTCACTTACATTTAGGTTGTTCCAGTCGACTGAACTTTCTTATGCCAGCTGTGGCGATCAGTAACTTGCTGATTACTGTTTCTCTCTTTTGAGGCCACTAATACAGTATTGTACCATGACAAGGTGAAAAGTAGAGGACTTTTGAACTGTCTGAAGTTAGACTTTTTGGTAGGATTATAGGGTCAAAGAGCCTAAGGGAACCCTTAGACATTTTGAAAATAAAAAAAACTAGGGTCTGTTTTGACATTTTGAAAATCTGAGTTTGTAAAGCTCTAGTTTTGAGTTTTGCAGAAAGTTTTTGTTTGAGTTGTCCAGGAGAACTTGATCCTGTGTGCTAACTATTATGGGTATATAAATCCTTACAGGATAAAGGTCCTTACATTGAGGAACTTGAAGACCAGATGCAGAAACTTCATGAAGAACGAGCAGCCGCTATCTTAGAAAGGAGAGCTGCTGATAATGATGATGAGATGAAGGAACTTGAAGCTGCTGTAAGTGCTGCAAGACAAGTTCTAAGCAGAGGTGGGAGCAATGCAGCAACAATAGAAGCTGCCACAGCTGCTGCTCAGACGTCAACAGCAGCAATGAGGAAAGGAGGAGACTTACCTGTAGAGCTAGATGAATTTGGTAGAGATAAGAACCTGCAGAAACGGATGGATACAACAAGAAGGGCAGAGGCTCGGAAGCGAAGGAGAATGAAAAATGATGTTAAAAGAATGTCAGCTATAAAATGTGATAGCTCTTATCAGAAAATAGAAGGAGAATCTAGCACCGACGAAAGTGACTCTGAGAGTACGGCATATCAATCAAACCGTGATCAATTGCTTCAGGTTTCCGAGCAGATTTTTGGTGATGCACACGAGGAATACTCTCAACTGTCTGTGGTTGTTGAAAAGTTTGACAGATGGAAGAAAGATTATGCCTCAAGCTATCGTGATGCGTATATGTCACTTAGTATACCTGTTATTTTTTCACCCTATGTGAGACTAGAGCTTCTGAAGTGGGATCCACTGCATGAAAACACAGATTTTATGGATATGAATTGGTATGTGCACTCAACTACTTGTATCAATTATTTTCAAGGATTATGACCTCAACCCTTTCCTTTCCAAGATTGGTCCTTCCTTTTGAGGATAGGAGCTTTGTGGCTTTATTCTGTAGTCACATAGGGCCAAAGAAATGTGTACTTGCCAATACTGATAGTAGAATTCTTGATGATTTTTGCAATATAATTTGTTTGAATTGACAAAGTATTTGCCAGGAATGTTTACCAGGCCAACCAATCATACAGGAAACTAGACATAAGCGCTTCGTTTGATCTTCCATGTGTTCGTATTACTTATTCCTTGAGATTTAATTCTCTTGCCAACTAAATTTTGTGTTATTCCAGGCACAATTCTCTATTCAGTTATGGAATTTCCCCAGAAGGTGAAACCGAAATAAGTGCTGATGATACTGATGTCAATCTTATTCCTCAGTTGGTGGAGAAGCTTGCAATACCCATTCTTCATAACCAGTTAGCTAATTGCTGGGATATGCTTAGCACCAGTGAAACAGTGTGTGCTGTCTCTGCCATGCGATTGGTGTTGAGATACGGCCCCTTTTCTGGCTCAGCCCTCAGCAATCTGATTGCTGTACTTCGTGATCGTCTTGCTGATGCGGTGGCTAATTTGAAGGTGTGTTCTTATTTCTGGAGGCCCAAATTGTGAGAATAATTTTTAAGACCGAATATAATATTATTTTTGAGTTTAGGTTTCCAATCATCTAAGTGAAACAACTACTGGGAATAAGTTTTCCTAGCAAAGTATGAACAGATTAGAAATAGTGAAGTGGAGTAGGATTGGGACTTCATCTTTATTTTGTTGGTAGTGAAGTCATAGGTTTATGATGTGAACAAGGATAAGAGGCTCCAATGGATTCAATACTTCTTTAATGTCCTTTTAGTTAATACTATAGGTAAATGCTCCTACCCATCTTTGTATGCTTATTTAGTTTAAACTGGATTGCTCATTTTTATCTTCTGAACTGCTTTTGCAGGTGCCAACTTGGGACACCCTTGTTATGAGGGCTGTACCTGATGCAGCACGAGTTGCTGCTTATAGGTTTGGCATGTCTATTCGTTTGATCAGGAACATATGCTTGTTCCATGAAATTTTTGCCATGCCTGTCCTGGAAGAGCTGGTTCTTGATCAACTCTTAAGTGGAAAGATTGTACCTCATCTTCGAAGCATTCAGTCAAACATTCATGATGCTGTAACAAGAACTGAAAGAGTTGTCACTTCACTACACGGTGTCTGGGCTGGCCCCAAAGCCACAGGAGACTGCAGGTACAGTTAATTTGAGTACGATATTTTAGTTGGCATTTCATTTTCTCACTAGTTACTTTGAGAAAATTCCATCTTTAGATCCCTTATCTTAACATGCTAACTTGTCATATATATGTTGGGGTGATATGGATAGTAGAAAGGTTCAAAGGAAATAGAGATATACCTTGTCCCCCCCCCCCCCCCCCCAAAAAAAAAAAAAACGGTAATAGAAGGAAACAGCAAAAGGAGTTAAGTACTCTTAGCTTTCTCGGTTTGGAAGTTCACATTTTTACCGATAGATAAGTATAAGTTTTAGAATCCAACTTTTTTCTATAAGTTAAGTATGGGTTTTGGAATTCGACTTTTGGAAGTTCATATTCCTTGAAGCAAACCTGTTGCACCACCATCAGATAAAACTTATGTACTTGTTGCATTAATATCACGATCAGCTAGCTTTACAAATATCTGATTTACGTGGTTCCTTTTTCATGGAGAAAATGTGTAGGCCCTTTTATATTTTCATCTGTTTCATCCCGTTTTCTCTTTCCCATCAAAGTTTTCAATTCTGCTTGCTAATGATGTATTCTTTAACCTGTGTAGTCCAAAGCTACGACCGTTGGTGGATTACTTGCTCTCACTTGCCAGGGTGCTCGAAAAGAAGCACTCATCAAGCAGCGGAGAGATAGAGACATCTAAATTTGCTCGTCGGTTGAAGAAGATGCTCGTAGAATTGAATCAATATGATTATGCCAGGGACATATCAAGAACCTTCAACATCAAGGAGGCCTTGTGATCTATCTACTTGGTCCCCATTGTCTTAAAAAACTCATGGGATGTTCTCAGTTTTAGCAGTCTTCTACAATTTTGAATTTCATGTCATTAGTTTTTCTTTTAGTGTAGTTACAAAAATAACAAATTTTGATGATACAAATGAAGCTTAAACGAAGAACCGAAGGATTTCATATAGTCGACCCTAATTTGTTTGGGCACAAAGTGTAGTTTGTTGTATTGTAGTCCCAGATTACCCTACGTCTACACAAGGGATTGTGCTTTTCTTTTATTTAGAGCTTTCGCGTTCGAGTCAGTCATTTAATGGAGTAGTAAGTGTTTCTTCATTTTACTCGTGTTCTCGGTTCGAGCCCGGAGTCGATTTTTGAGGGATTTATTAAAGTAAAATATTTGACTTATTACTTCCACTTTCTCCTTAATTATTCTTAATTGTGGGGTGTTCTTACTGTGACCTATCAGTCAATCAGTTTTTTACTCAATATAAATTACAAGGAAACGCCTAAATATGTTATCGAATTAAATAATTTTTTTTATGTCAATCATTAAAAGTTTAATTTATCTATGCCAATATTATTTAAGAAAAGACTGATTTATTCCATTGTTTATTAACTGAAATGACACAAATAAATTAAATTTTTAACAAAGTTCAATAATATATTTAAGTTTTTTTCCCCTAAACTATAAATATCTATCTGCATGTCAACGTTGTACTTATAAATAAATGACCCCACAAAAAAATAAAATTAGAAGGGTAGTTGAGAAGTCAACATTACACCATTTTTTTCACATCATATTCCATAGTATTTATATAATACCATAACCATTACATCCAAACCAATTGAAAAACCTCAAATATTTCTTTCTTTTTTTCTCTAGTTTCTTGCTGTGATATTTTATTTTATTTTGAGAAAGTTAAAGAAAAAATGTCTTCACCATTATTAATTTCTAATGGATCTGCCGGAAAAGGTGGCCGGATTCTGATCGTCGGAGCGACGGGATTCATCGGACAATTTATAACACAAGCAAGTCTTGATGCTAATAGAAGAACATATATTCTTGTTAGATCATTTCCAAGTAATTTTCATCCTAAGATCAAAATTATCAAAGAATTTGAAGATAAAGGGGCCCATAATATTGCACGTAAATATGTTACACTCATATTCTCTTTGTTACTTATTTTTCACTATTTTTGAGTGGATCGAAAAATGAAAACAATAAGAAAAAATCAGACTTAACTTCGAAAGTCATGATGATATTATCTAGGAATGTCCTTATCAGAATATTTTTGTTTTTCACTTCGATGAATTAGCAATAATTTTTAATCTTATTTTATAATTTTTTTTAATAGGGTGTTACAAATGATCAAAAATTTATGAGATTGATATTGTAATATCGGTTGGTGGTGGTGAAAGTATACTTGATCAACTTGTCCTTGTTCAAGCCATAAAAGTTGTTGGGTCTATCAAGGTAATCTTTTTCCTAGTAAAATTAGGCGAGTTCGGGATCTAGAGTTAACGAATTTAGAGTGAGTTATGATCTTATATAGGTATACGTATATATTTATTTTCTTGTTACATATTTATATTATACTTAGAGTCGAAAGTAGTGGATTCAACTGAACCAGCCTTAATTCATCTATGTGCAAAGACATGACATATACACTGATAGTGTAAAAGAGTCGGAAAAAGAAAGATGAGAATGTTTCGTAGATTTTATTAATGTAAATGTCAAGCTTATAAGTCTTTGTTTAAAAAAAAAAAGAAGATAAATGCAAGACCAAATGTGGATTCAAGAATTAGGGTTTATTGTGACTAAGAGATATCAGAAGTGAGACTGCTGACATGATGAGTGACAGTAAATTACATGAAAGTTTGTCAGTGAATGATTTCGTCATTCAGTCAGTCTATGCATAGTAATCGCCCCCTAAGTAACTTCCAAAAGAGTTACCATCCAATGAATACACAAAAGTAACGAAATTACTTTGATTACAGAACCTTCTCAGTAGTTATGACCTTATTAAAGTAATTAAAATGACAATGACATATATATACGTACGGATGATATTTTTTTGTGATCAGTAAATTTTAACATGTTATAACAAATAACGTCGTGTTTATTTTTTTCTAAAAGAGATTTTTGCCATCAGATTTTGGACATGAAGTGGACAGATGAAATCCAGTGGAGCCAGGGCTAAATATGTATAAACAAAAGAGAAAAATTAGAAGATTTATAGAGGAAATGAAAATACCTTATACTTATATTTGTTGCAATTCAATTGCTTCTTGGCCATATTATGACAATAAACATCCTTCTCATGTTCTTCCTCCTCTTGATCATTTCCAAATTTATGGTGATGGCAATCTCAAAGGTAAATACATTTTTCGATAATCCGTCATTAAATAGGATCAACGATATTTGTTGTTTGGCGATAGAAATTGTACGTAATAATTCATGTTTCTTTTTTGAAAAATGTTTATATGTTAATATAGGTGTATGTGTTTATCAGTGATAGATTCAGAATGACCAACATGGATTGTGGTGCACGGAGTGTTTCACCCTTAACCAGAGGTCTCGGGTTCGAGTCCTGGGTATGGAGAAAATTATGTTGGGAGCGCCACCCCCAAATGGGCTCTACAATGTGCGATTCGGATTTAGTCGGAGCTTTAACGTTGGTTTCGAACATCGAGTAGGAAAAAAAAAGAAGATAGATTTAGAATGTAATAACTCATGTTTCTTTTTTGAAAAATGTCCATATATTAATATAGGTGTGTGTTTATTAGTGATAGATTCAGAAATTTAATGAAGAAAATTTAAAAAATTAAAAAGTAAAACATACCAAGAAGTTAAATAAATTTAATGTGTAATTAACTATAGAAAAGTGTCAAAATGCCCTTATAAATACCCCAAATTAATAACTTGGTCAAATATACCTTACTTTGTCACTTAGTTGGATCAAAAATACTGTTTTCTTAATAAATAGAGACTAATTTTCAAGGTAATTGTTTTTTTATATTCACTAATTTTTATTTCTATTTATTTCATTAATTTTTCTAAAAATAAATGCAGCTTAATATATAGGAAAATAAAATTGGAAAAAAATTACCAAGAGTTACAATTACTGAGGATGTCCTATTAGCTATTGCCGCAGGTATAAATATATTATTTCCGTTTCATTTTATGACACTGTTATTGGTACAAAGCCATTATCGTTAACGTGCCTATGGTGTTACCATTTAAATCATAATTTTGAATAGATTATATTAATTTTTAACGTGTTGTGTTTAATTTGCAGATAAAATAATCCCTACAAGTGTAGTTGCATCATGAAATTTTTATAAAGGGCTGTCAAATTGGATTTTCAATTGATGGCAAAAAAGACCTTGAAGTTTGTGATTTGTACACAAATGAGTCCTTTTGCACTATGGATGTGTCTTTCAATGATTTTTTTAAAAAAAAAGATGGATCGAGAAAGACTCGTGAATATTTCCCCTTATTTTGATGTAAATATTTGTCATTTTCCTTTGTATCGATGAAAAAAATACAAGGAAAAAGGACAGATATATCCCGAACAATTGTAAATGGTATGCAGATACTCTCCGTCATACTTTTGGGATATTAGTGTCCTACTCCTAAAACTTAAGCATATATACCCTTTATATTGACAGACATACACGTGGCATAATATTATCCATCGATCGGACATTTATCAAATATCGAATCGACGGATAAGATTGTACCAATTTTGTCTTCCGTTAGAGTGCAGGACATATATTTCTAATTTTTGAACGATAGGGACACCAACATCCCAGAAATATGACGGAGGATATTTACATATCATTTATGATAGTTCAGGAGTATATTCGTCTTTTTTCCCCAAATAATAGTAAAGCTCAATATCTATTGATTTTGTCATTCCTATAATTTAAAGGACTCGTTAGTTATAGGACAACAAATCCAAAATTCAAGAGGTAATAAATACAACCTGTCTAGTTTACAAGCAGCCGCCTTTAATCTTTGCCATCGTGGTGACCGAGTAGACATCAAGCGATCAAGTAAGAGCGCGTAGGCCACTCATTGCAAATGAACATAACTTTAATGGTATATAGGACATCGTTAAATTAGTATAACTCTTCAAGGAGGATGAAAGAACTAGTTGGGAGGGGGAATCCTCGAACGATTAATAAAAGAATTCAAAAGAATTGAACGAGGAGTTATATGAGAGAGCGATACTATAAAATGATATGAAGGAAAACATTTTCCCAACTTCAGATTACAATTGGTAAAAATGTCAAATGTCATCATCATACATTTGATAGATCAGAGAAAATATGCACAGAACTGGTATAACAATTGCTTTACAGAATCTATTGCCAGTATTAACATAATCTTGTGTTTAATATACACAGTTCACAAGACAGACACAACTCGATTCAGACGAATACACATTGAAATCAATGTATACTTGTGGTGACATGACTCAATAAAACCGCATTCACCATCTAACTTGTTCCTCTGATCAAAAGAACAAGCTCGGGGGAAACTAAGCTTCTTTGTCGATAGTAACTACACATCATTTACAAGTAAACGTTCTTCTATAAACATACGGCAGATAGGGCACCTCTTGCACTTGTCACAACAGGTACTGAAAAAGAATGATCCGTTGCAATAATCAGATTAGATATGCAAGAAAGGAAATGAAACGTTAATTTTCTTTCGAATCTAGCTTGCAAGGAAATACATGCCTTCAAAATATGGAAACTGCTTTAAACAGTATATTTATCGAACATTGAAAATCATAGAAAGAATGTATATACGACTGCAGAAAACGAGTGGCATGAAGTCTAGGTAATACCTGCAGAGGATGTGATGCCTACAAGGAAGGAGGAGAATATTTATATGTTCCTCGAAGCAAATTCTACATAGAATTTTTTCCTGACAAAAGGATCCAAATGTAAGTGGCTCAGTAGATACCAGCACCGATTACATAATAAATTCCACTCGTGAAGAATTAGCAAGGGCGAGAAACAATATAACACAAATACTAAGGTAACACGAGTCAATTCCTTGTTTCAAACACATCACATATTTGTTAAACGCACGCTAGATATTCCCGTGATAATATAATGCATCAATTAGATATTAACAGTATTTTGATGTAATCTTACATTTTGAAGTCTTTCGAACTCCTCCTGTTTTGACTGTGTGAAATCTGATTGCTCACAAAGTGCTGCTTGTAATCTCCATATCTGAGATAGCAACAGTCAAGCTAACCATCTCAGTAAGAGCACTACAGGAAACGAAGAAAAGAGGCAATAAGAAAAAAGACATGACCTCTTCAGTAAGCTTCGCCTTAGGCATTTGCTTTACAGTATCAGGTGAGAAAGTATTGTACCTGAAATAACAATCAGAAGACGCCGTGAAGATATATCAGTTGAAGTATAAGTAAACACTGCATGCATGTACAACTTCAGTAAGAGCTTCAAGCGTAGACCATCAAGAAATTTTACCCATTGTAAGAAAATTAGACAAAAGTCGTATAAGCAACAAGTAATTTCTAGAATCTTTTTATTGACCAACAGTCCTGCTTTTACAGTATCTATATCTAATCGCTTTTGAAAGCTTAGATCATTTTTTCATCAGTAATTTTCATTCATCAAGCTCTTGTTTGATATGAGACTGTTAAGCCAAGAATTTGGGTTTAATGATGAAGTGAATCTCTCCGAGCCAGTAACAGGCTGCAACAGTGTCATAGTGGTATTCCCAATATTAATTATTCAGTAACAACAAATTTTCCCTTGATAGGAGGGTATAGAGGTCGAGGATTTGAGTACAAGGCTAGTAGTAAATTGTTTCCTGTCTGGTCTCTCCAGCTAGTAGTATTGGTATTATTTACTATTTCCATATTTCTCCCCCTTAGTTTTCTCCTACTACTTGTTCTCTCGTATGCTTTAATTTTCTTTTTATCCTGCTATTACTGCTCATGTCTTCATGAATGTTGTGTTTTTGCTTTCTTTGAGACGAGGGTCTTTTGGAAACAACCTCTCTACCTAAAACAAGGTAGGGGTAAGGTTTGCTTACACACTACCCACCCCAACTATGTTGCGTATGTTGTTGTAGTGGCAGTAATTTTACAGAAAATTTCTATAAAGACGCCAACACACACACACACCACACACACACATAAAAAAAAAGGCCATCTATAACGCTGAACCAGATGACCCTGAAGGTACTGGATAGAAATACAAAAGCTGCAATTATTGACAGACACTGACCCAGATGTCTCTGTCTCTGCATAATATAGACGAGCTTGTTCCTCTCGGCTATCTTCATCAATTGACCACCAACCTAACAACCTGTATCAATAAGATCAACACAAAGAGACAAGCACGTCGAATGAATTAAAAACTAAACAATGTTGGGAAGGATCAGAAATTGTACAGTTTCGCCTTGATATCATTACCTTGACCCATGACGCATGCAACTGAAAGAATCACGAATAACAGAAGACATCCTAAAATAGCTTCTAACACCACGTTCACCATCTACCAGAAGAATAACCGTCTCCACAAGTCTATAAACAGAGAATAAAAGACCAGCTCCTTGAAGTAGGAAAAGAGGAATAAACAGAACAGGAATTGGGATAAATGCAGCACTTGGTGGGGTCCCCTGTAATCAAAATGTGTTAGTTGCACATCTTAACTAACTGGAATATTGAAAAAAAAACTTCTTAGTTCTTAGAATTTTCGTACCGCTAAGCGCATAAAAAGCAATATCTGGAAACAAATAAGAGGAATTTTCATCACATGACCACCAATGTCCTGCAAACTGCATATTCCACTATGCTGATCATCTTCATCCACAGATGCAAGAAATCCACTGTTCCGGGTAAGATATCTCATGCTTGTTATAGAAGAACTTGTTATAGAAGAGCTGGGTGTACGCAGACTTGACTGTCTGTGGATTGCAGGGTTGTACCATTTTGTGCAGATAAGAAAGGCAAAGCATTCTGCGACACTGAATGCCAAGTATGATACAGGTTTAGCAAGCAATCAGGCACAATTGCCAATTACGCAGGATAAATGGGGAACTTTAGTACCCGTAGTTAATGAATAAATCCCACCACCCAAGAGCAGCAACATCTCCTGCAATTCACAGCAAACAAACATGAAACTGTAATTTGATAAACGAATGAGGTGGAAAAGCCAATAATTATAACTATTCTATCAAACTAATCTGTAGTCCAGCTTAATATTTGGATCACTACGTTTCTAACAGTATTACCACAAACAAGAACATTTGCAAATTTTTGTTCTTTAAATAAAGCAGATGTAGAGGTGAAGAGAAGATATGCTGATGCCAGTGACGTGGTGGAAGAGAAGAGGAAGAGGTAGGCCGAAGAAGTATTGGGAAGAGGTGATTGGACAAGACATGGCATACCTGCAACTAACCGATGACATGACCCTAGATAGGAGGATTAGGAAGGTTAATTGATAGTAGAGCATGTTGTTCATTATTACTCTCATACTAGTGTATTCTTCGATTTAGTAATACCTGTTGTTTTCTTTCTTCGTCTATCATATTATTTGTCGTTGCTTTTGTTCTCTTCTATATTGTTGTTAGCATGACTTCTTTACTACTGTATTTGCTTTACATACTTAATTTTTTATGTGTTACTTGAGCCGAAAACAACCTCTCCACCTTCACAAGATAGCATACACACCACCCTTCCCAGACCCCACTTGGGGATTACACTGGGTACGTTGTTGTAAATAAAGCTGAAGTAGGGAAATAATAATTTAACTCCTAGGCTGCATGAATCACAGTCAAAATGCATATGATTGTTGAATTCACATATTATGGCCACCTATCGAGCAATTAAAAACAACGGTAAACAGCCACTGATCCTTATTTGGAGAACGAACTGAGTTAATTTATCACTTAAAAGTTATCAACACTAAGCTCAAGGAAAGTAGATTGTCATCAACAAGATGCTACATGTAACTTATGGAGTGTTGAAGTATCCTTTCTACTTATTAATACATTATATTACAATCTTCAGTGAGTAATACCACACATTGTCAGTCAGCTGATGGTTCAGATCTTTCTTTAACCATGAATGCAGTTAAATGTTAGTCGAGAACTTCGTTCAGATAAGATACCTAGTAGGTTTATGACAAACCTTAAATTTTGTTTCACAAAAAAGGAGGATACAACCCAGTTGCTAGGATTTATTTCTTTGAAATAACAGAGAAACACCTATTGATACAAACAGGGGTAAAACGTACCCTTGTACTGGTTACTTGATGGCTGGCTTGAAGGCTTTAATAGACTAACAAGCCTGCAACTCTAGGAGAATAAGCATTGCTGTAATTTGCACCAATGGACCAAACTCTTTTAACTCTTAGTAATAGTATAATCTTTCTTTTGCTTGCCATTTTTAAACATGTTTTTTTTAATGTTCCATACAGCTATAAACTGATAAGAACGTACAGATATAAAATCAAATGAGAAGAAGCAAATGGTGCAATTTAGCCAGACGAATTCAATGACAGGTACAGAAACTGAGTCTAATAATTACCGCAAATCTTCAGAAGAGTAAATGCTGTTGCTGCTATGAAGAAGACCATAGCGATTGCAACCCAGAAGTGCTGAGACATAGATGATAAGACGACTTTTAGAAACTACCAATGTGCACATATTAGTGGAAATTGTATGTACCAATCAATCACAGTTTCAAATAGCTTTCACATCAATAGGGTACAACACAAAGCATATGAATTCAAGGCACATAACACCAGACTGCATATAGCTGAAAAAAGTACTTAAAAAGTCTGGTTCAAATATGCAATTAAACTGTTTGTTCCTAATATGTGCAACTCCTCAGCATAAACTGTGTTTGAACGCTATTTTCACAGGTGAGGAGATAGCAGTCAACTCACAAAAGATCCGAATTTAAGAGTGCACTTCCTTTGAAACCCCGTAAAATAACATCTACGCTCTTTCGTTTACAGATTCATGCAAGTGAAGAAATCAGGTTTCTAAGCTGGTCATTCTAAAAGGTATAATAGATATTACTATTAGATTCTTCCCAATAAATAAGCTACAGGAATGACATGATTGTTAACTGTAGTTTCTTAAAATGAATGGGATATCTTTACTTACAGGAAGGGTCTCCCATATAGCCTCATCACTCATGCTTTCTTCATCTCCAGGCATCAGCGCCCTGCACATTCTGAGCATGGGGAGAAGTTCAAAAGGAATTAGATAAACATCCAAAACCAAGACCAATAATTTACATGCTTTGAAGTACCGCAAAAAATATATGTTTGGACATCTTATCACAAATCTCTTTATTCCAAAAAGGCATAATACATAAACACAGACACTCAAACATGGCCTCAAATGGCCAAATAAACACTCCAACTTTGAGTATGCACATCTAGAAACTTCAACTCTTCTCCACTATATCAGCTGCACATTCCAACTTAAAGAATGTTCATCTAGACACCTCCAAAGTTTATGTGCCACATCAGCATCTGCTGTCTACGAGACACACTGGGGACGAGTTGGAGTATTCTGTTGCCAGTTGAGACCAAATTGAGGTGTCTATATGTGCACTCCTCAAAGTTGGAGTGCTTATTGTCAACTGAGGCCAAGTTTGAGTGTGTGTTTAAGGGCCCGTTT